CAGGCCTTCATCAGCAGATCGGCGACCAGACACGGGAGCTAGGTGCGCTTAAGAAGGGTAAAGGCAAGCTGGTCGAAGAGCTATCAAACAAGGAGAAGTACATCGAAGAACTGGGGTCTTCTACTGATAGCAGGATAAGATCGATGAACTCGGCATATGACGGCCTCAAGCGGAAGTTTGAAGAGCAGCAGCAACAGCATCGAGAGCTAGACGGCAACCACGACAACGCTGTTCGTCTAGAGGCTGAACTGGAGAGGAAGATGACTGAGATTGAAGAGATGCGACACCATCAAGACGAGTACGCGGCATCATTCACTGCGCTTGAGCAGGAAGTGAAGGCGCTACGAGACGACAAGCGCGCCTTTGAGACATTGATCGCGACCTTGCAAGATAAAATAAGACACCTGGAAGCCCTAGAGCAGTGGGACGAGCCGAAAGAAAACAAGGAGTCGAGCGAACTCCATCGCACTTCCTCACCCCGCCACATCACCATCCATGACGGCCCTTACGACACTGCTCCGTCGAGTCCGATTTCATCTCACACAAGGAGTTCGATTGGACACATGAGTATGCAGCATGAGAGGCCGCAGACTAGTGCGAGCACTGTTTCTCACGAGGGTGATCCCGAGTCCTGGGGCCTGCGGATAGAAAAGATACGCATGCAACGCGATGACGCAGCTGTCCAACTCAAGGGTATGAAGAAGTCGCGACACAACCTCAAGAAGACTTTGCGGGACACAGACGCACAACTCCACCGGTTGGAGAAGGAGACGAAGACGTAAGCCCCCTCTATCAAATCACCATGTCATGCGACTTCAAAAACTAACGAATCCCCAGTAAACGTCCCCAAAACCTCCTCCGCAAGAAGTCCCGTCCCATGACACCCAACCCTCTCACCGCCTCACCCGACCTATCCCGTAACACACCGTCCCCGCGCATCGGGAGCGCACCCCAAACACCCGACCGTCCTAAGACCTCCCACGCAATCTCCTCTTTCTCGCCTCGTTCCACCGTCAACGCCAATTCGCGACATAGCACTTACATCGCTCCCACCGCTCCCATGACGCCTGAAAACAAAACTGCGCCCTCCACACCCGAACGCCCTAAGACAAGTCATAGTATCAGGCATAGACTGAGTTATAGACCGACGACTAGTGGTGGTGAGGAACATGTACACAAGGGACATGGGCATGTAAGGAAGTGGAGTTCAGGCTTGAGGAGTTTGTTCCATAAGGATGGGTGAGAGGTAGCTGTTTTCTTGCTTTCTCATTTTCTTGACTCCTCGCTGTGTATATCTTGTTTCTTGTTTCCTTTAGCCCAGGCTGGCTTTTCGCTTCGTGTTATTACTGATTATTTTGTAGTTTATTCTCCTCATCGTTCTCGTTCTCGTTAGTTGTTTGTTTGCTCCTGTCATTGTTTTGCATTCTTGAGATACCAAAGGATAGGGCTTATGGAGGGGGGTAATGGGTTCTTTCTAGGGTATCGCGGGTAGTCTTGTGGTTGCAGGCACGAGTGGATTCATTTCTGCACAGTTACCTACGTACATATTTGGCTTGAGTTCGATGTATACACAGCATTGCTCTTCACCCATCTGTTGTACTACTAAATACCTATTCCGTCCAGACCGAATTCACCCGTGGGTACGAAGGCTACCGTTATATGGTGTAAAATCTAGAAGTGATGCAGTAGCTTAGATCTCCGTACTTTACTACTATAGGATGGAAGGGCATCCGTTGTATGCTGTTGTTCACGTGACAATGACTAAGCGAGTCTCGGCAATGACGCGGGTCTCGCAACACACCTGCGTCTTCGGCAACATCGCCATCGACCTACGCAAGGGATTTGACAAGCACGACGGCTTTTCAATTTTCATTCTATCGATGTCCATGTATCTTTCGCGGCAGTGTCGTCTCTCTTTCTCGTCGCAGCGGCGCTACGGGCTCTGTTGCGCCCTGCGCATGCTCAGGTGCGAAATGAAAGCCCGCTCAAGCTAGCGTGCTTGAACTTAGAGTCGCTCTTCACCTGAGGCTACTACAAGGCTACCTCGACGATCGGGCCAACGTATGACTTCTTGCCTCTTACAAAATACCAGACGACGGCAAAGATCACCGTTCCTCCAAATGTGACTGAGCTGAAGTTCATCGATTGCGCATCAACCTTGACCGAGCCCGGCCAGAATGAGAAGAACCACAGTACGAACAGATAAGCGCAGGCGAAGATGTTGTTGGCGACACCAAATGCGCCCGGAACCTTCCAAGGGCCCCATTGCAACGTCTCAGGTCCAACCATCGCAGCTCGCGCATTGTATGGACTGATGCCCTTGAGACGTCGCCACAAAAGCAAGGCGCACACGATGAAATATGAAGCGTAAAGACCGCCGATGCTGAGGTTGACGATGTTGCTGAAGGCGACGAACGAGCCGAGTGCGATGAACGACAGAAGCACACTGATGACGGCAGTGATGAGGATCGTGTTGACAGGAATGAGCGTTCGAGGATTGAGCTGTGAGGGTTAGCATCAAGACGGCGGCGTGAACTGGGAGAGCTACCCACCTTGGTGACTTGAGCAGAAAACGGCATAGCGTTGTCTCTCGCGAAAGACCACATCTGCCGGGAAGTCGCAGCCATGAGGCCCACCAGACAGCAGACGCCAAGGGTCCACATGATCATAGCCATGGTCGCAGCCCCGGCAGCTGATCCGGTGCCTTTCAAGAACACGTATAGATAGGGGTATCCTAGTGTTGCTGAGGATGCCAGAACATCGTCCAGGTCCCCAAGACAGAACAGATACGCGATCAACATCGCAAGACCAAGTGTGCCATTGAGCAATACGCTGATCTGGATAGCTCGTGGAACGACTTTAGACGCGTTCTTGACTTCTTCGGCCATCTAAATTTGGATTAGCACGACCGCAACCGATCGGCGGAAGAGCAACTTACGTGCACACACGAATCAACACCTATCTGAATTAGCATCGATGTTGGCCCCAATACTTGACCAGGAAAAGCACTCACCAACCAGGGCGAAAACAGATGATGGAAGTCCGACCATGAACGAAAGCGCCTGCGTCGACCAGCCCCCGGTGTTGACGAATGTGGTAAAGATTGAGGCATTGCTATGAGGAGCGAGATACACCAGCGGGATCAGGATTGCAAAAAAGCCCAGGATGTGGAGTATCAAGATCAATCCTTCGAAGTGTGCGAGTGTTTTGCTTCCGACCGTGTTGATGATGACCGCAAAGGCGAGCACAGCCCAGCCGAGCAGCATCGCCTGGTACGGCTTTGGCGAGTAGCTTTCGTCGCACATGAGAATTGTGCTCTGCAGAATGGTTCCGGCAAGGTATGCAGAAGAAGCGGTAGTGGCCTGCCAGCCAATGAGTGTCACCCATCCGGTGATGTAGCTCAGGAATCTTCTGTACGACGGCGGGGCTAGCATTGCAACCCAGCTAGGAGCATGTCAGCCACGAGTATTGTCATGATCGGGTTTCTTACTGGTACTGCCCACCCGCCGTGGGCGCCATCGACGACAACTCCGACAGAACCGTATAGATGGATAACGAACCGATCCATATAAGTATATAGCCCCAGAAGACACCTGCAGGACCACCATTGAGAAGACTGGGAGTCGAAACTTGAAGAATACCTTCCCAAGTGACCAGCACAGTACATGACTACGGAGACAAAGTCAGTGTATTTCACGCGTCCCATACACTCAAACTTACAAAACCCAAGATCTGCATGAAGCCAAAGTTACGCTTCAGAACAGGCTTCTTGCCCAGCCGCATGAGATCCCTGTCATCTCGAGTGTAACCATCATGCTCGGCGTCCTCAATGGCCGAAGTGACAGCTTCAGCTTTCGTTCGGTTGCCGAGTTCCATGGCTTCGGATGAAGTTGGTGAAGAGGCAATCCAACAGAAGAGATATGGACGAACACTGCAATGGGTGCGAGGCGAACAAAAAGTAAATGCAGGCACTTAAACTAGCTATGATGCACGTCGTCGCGTTCAAACATCGGTTACGCGAGGATTCATCCAGATTGTCTCGCTAAACACATGCAGCAGGTTACATGCTGTGCCGCATTCTCTGCCGCACTGCATGCCGCGCGGGGGTTTTGATAACGGCGTTCCCATGATGGTTCGAGTCTGCTCTTCTGTGCGCAATTTTACTTATATTCGGACACGAGAGCCAGCTTCGCGATTTAGCATACACATGAAGTATACTTTTAGCTCAGTACCACATACACGATTTACACAGCTTGAACCGGCTTTGAGTCCCCAGGTCTTCCCAGCTCGACAATCGCACCCTTACCTCAATGAAAGAACCCCTGTTCAATCCGCATCCTGCAGGATCCGGGTGGAAGCTGGATTAGGTGCCGCGGACGCTACCGTCCCGAGCGAGGCTTAGCATTGGCTAAGCATTGACGTCTGAAGCAGCCGCCATGGTCGCACAAACACCCACGGCATGTCCCGCAAGGCTCATTTACCGCTGCCTTCCTCTTTACGTCTTGTCGACATGTGCACATGGTCTGCTCTCCGGCTGATTGGTGGTCTGATATGGATGTCTGCACGCATGTGGCGCAGATCTTCTAAGCGACCTATCACACCGTTGGAACATCATAACATGCTTGTGAAGCATACGCAAGCCTTTTCGGATGATAGTACTATAGAAGTAAGCTTCTTGCATACCCTTGCGTATGATAGCTAATCGCACATGCAAGAACTCGAAAAGAGCAAATTCACACGCCTACGTGGGTGTGATACCAGCCGCGCGGGTTCGGGAATCCTCGATGAAAGAGCTCCAAGGTGAGATGGAAGCAGGACGACATCATTTCTTTCGCCCTGAGACGTCCGTGGGCACCATGCGATTACAGTGTGTTGGATGGCGGCGCAGAGATAGCAACAGGAGAAGCTGAGTTCTTCGCGTTGGATTATATCCCTAATGCCTTGACCTCGCGACCGACCATCACGACATCTGAGCCCTTCACTCCCAAACGTAAACCATCATGTTTTTTAGACGCAAGGCTATGGATGCTGGCAAGCGTCCTGCGTTCCACGAAGGCCATGCAGCACCATTGATTCAGATCCTCGCATGGCTATTCCTTGCCTTCTCGATACTAGCAGTCGTAGCGCAATTCGCGACGAAGAAAGCCATGTCAAAGCGTTTTGTCGAAGCCGACTTTGTGCTCCTAGTGGCCTTGGTAGGTCTTTGAGGAAGAGAAGCATGACTATGTGCACTGACAAACAACATTGCAGGTCTTCGCAGCAGGACAGGCATCGACTCTCCTCAGTCCAGCGGGTCAGCCGATTGGGAATCTACAATCCGGCCTCGAACCAGATCAAATTGATGGGGCCTGGAAGGTATAGAGTACGGAAGCTTTGGAATGCAACGCTGACAGCGTTAGGCTCTGTTCAGCAGCGAGATTCTGAGCGTGCTTGCGATCGTTGCCGCCAAAGGCTCTTTGCTCGTCTCGCTGACGTCAGTAACGCCTGTCGACACACACAGGAGGATGATGCGCGCTACAGGTGTTTTGACCGTGCTATGGGGATTGAGCGCTGTGTTCCTTATCGCCTTCCAATGTCCGTCTCCGCAAAGATGGGATATCACGGACCCGAGGTGTATGGACCTCGTAAGTTTGATCATCTGCATATCCTGGTATAAAGCAGTGGCTAAACCCATTCAGCGCGCCGTACGCACCTACAATGCTGTCATGAACATCGTAACCGACCTTGCGCTCGCCGGTGTACCGACACTGATGGTCCTACCGCTGCAGATTACCCCGGAAAAACGTTTCACGCTCATCACAGGCTTCTGCTCACGCATAGTGTAAGTCGTGTTACTCTTTGTAAAAACTGCCTTACCACTCCGCTTGCACTAACACAATGGGTCACAGCGTCGTCTTTGCCTCAGCCGCCCAAATCGCATACATCCGCACCTTACCCCAACACGGCGATCTTCTCCACTCAATATGGCACATCGTCGTCTGCGGACAAATAGTGCAAGTGGCCAGTATAATGACTTCGACCATCCCCTTTCTGAAGCCATTCATGATGAGCCTCGACTCGGGCTTGTGGAGCGCACAGCATGCGGGTGTTGCTACGATGTCGGGTTACACATCCGCGGGTGTTACAGGGCACTCGTCGAGTTATATAGAGATCTCTAGTCAGCGAAGCCGCAACCCATCTTGTACGAGAGGAGATAAGGATGCCGATATCTGGGTGCGGAAGGAGGTTGTAGTGAAAAGAGAGCCGAGTGTCGAGTTACGCGACATGGGAAAGGGTAGATAACATCGAAACGCCGACGAGGATTCGTGTGTCATACTCATCTTTAGCTTCGGCGCGAAATCCGATGTTCCGGTGCGAGGAGTCCCAGAGCCTCATACTTTTTCGACTGCGTCAAATTATGTGTCGTCCAGAGGCCACTATCGTTCGCGCGCAGGGCGCACCTTCCTTTCACCTTCACTCATACGCGACACACGAGCGTTCCACAAGATCCACCTGCCTAGGCAGCGCTTTCCCCACGCGCAAACGCTCGTCCAAGCGGTGACGTAAATGCACCACCGCGCTCTCACCTCCTCAGTCAAAAAGCTCCCTCCACCTACTTCCACCTGCCTCCCACCTTCCTTCATTCCTTGCCTCCCACGCCAAATCAACCTAACCACCACTCACTCAAAACCATGCGCTTCCTCACCACCATCTTCCTCCTAGTCGTCAGCCTCGCCGCTCTCGCAAGCGCGAACAACGATAAAAAGAGCGACGTGAGGAACTTCAGGGATGTCGTGAAAGATTGCGTCGTCGCGTGCAACTACGGTCCTCACTGCGCGCACTACTGCGAGTGCAAGGTGTACAAGCTTCTAGGCAAGAACATCAAGTGCAATAATGATCCAAGTATGTGAAACAGCTGATACCGTGCGGCAGCCATGGAGTGGGAGTTTGGATATTTTGCTAACACAGATTATAGCGTGCAAGAAGCCAGGGCCTAAAGGTTGCGAGAAGTACGAGCTCAGTGGCAAGGTTCGTCGAGACGAAGATACTTCTGCGGCTGTTGACCAAGCTGCGTCGGCGACTGTTGAGGAGTCTTCATCCGAGACCGCTACTCAGGTCGACCCCGGAACCATCAATTACAACCAAGACGCTCCCGAGGACTTTGTTCAGACTGCTGATGTCAACGGCGACGACAACACCTGCACAACACAAGGCTGCTCCGAGGCCTTGCCGTATTGCCTCAAGGCGTGCGGCTTTGGTCCCCATTGCGAGGGTTACTGCGCCTGCATGTTGCACTCGAACCCGAAGTCAATCTGCCGCCAACAAGGTACGTGATAACACTCTCTAGCTCAGCGAGAGCTTCATTTCTGTTCTATCTATACTAACTCTACCACAGGCTGCGTCGAGGCTCCTCAAGACTGCGATCAATGGGAGTTCACTGACCACGACATCGCTCTTGCTGGCCCTGAGACCGCCGACTATGAGAAACTCGCTGCCGCTGCCAACGCTCGGGAGGGAAGCGATGACGAAGACGTTAACAGCGAACACTGCAAAGCTTGCCGCGATGCCGGGTACGAATGCAGCAAGAAGTGCGGCGCCGGCGATATGATCTGCAAGGCTCTATGTCTGTGCGCGAGCACTGCGGAGGATAACTGCGGCAAGTGCAAGTCCGTCGACTGCCCACGCACTTAAGAGTGAGGAGTTGTCGGGTTTCGGTTTGAGCGATGATGGCAATTCTGACCAAGATGTTGGAAGCTGGATGAGACTGCGGGTTTTCGGGTTCACGTCCGAAACTGAAGGCGGCTCCTGGTCTTCCTTTCCCAAAAAGGATCACGATCTTCGTAGATCTGATATCTAATGACACGCTTCCTTCGTGGTCATGATCTCGTTTCACAACTGTGATGGGTGAAAATGCGCGCTCGTCCCAAGGCTGTCCGCGATAATGGTTGCGGTGGCAGTCAAGCCGGTTCTTCTCTGGATGGTTGGACAAGTTGAGCCCAAACGCGGAGCCATTTCGCGAAGTGAGGTCAATGTGACGTGCCCTTCTTTCACTTCATGGGCTTCCTCGCGTAGACGACTGTCCCAGGTAAGTACGCATGAGTCCGGTAACTCTTCAACTCCTTGCGCATCTGCGCCAGATGCAGTTGAGCTCGTGCAACAGACCACTGCATCATGTCAGCTTAACCCACCACACCAACCTCAGCAATACTCACACCGCCAACCTGCGTCAACAACCTCAACATAAACCCCTCAACCCCATCCATCAACCTCAGCTGATTCCACCTCCCAATATTCTTCAACTTCTTATCCGTCGGCCACCCATTCATCGGCCACTTATACTCCATAACCGTCACATCCACAAACCCGGCTCGTCGTATCCTCTCAGCGCTCTCCTCCCAAATCGTAAACGTCTTGCCGAAACGATCGCCCATCTCCACCACCACCTTGCCCCAGGTATGGTAGAAGTGATCTGGCCCCATTGACCCATCATCGGATGTAGGACATACGGAGTGCTCTACTATTTCTATCCAGCCGCCTGGTTTCGTGTGTTTGTAGGCTTGCTGGAAGAAGAAGTCCCAATCTGGGATGCAGCCGAAGAGCTCGCGGATGTGGATGAAGTCGAAGTGGTTGGGCGGGAAGGTCCATTCGAGCGAGACGTCGTCGATTTCGAAGTGGCAGTTTGGCGGGACCCATTCGGGTTGGATGGGGGAGAGGTCGGTTCCTGTTACTGTTGCTGAGGGGTATTGGTCTGCCATGTCCTATACGTATCTACATTAGCCTACTTCGGAAGAGGAAATGTCTGGGCAGCATACAATTGCCCATATGCCGGTTCCTGTGCCGCAATCTAATATCGTCTGTGGATTAACCAGCGGCGCAAGATGCAGCTTCTGGTCGAGCGTCAGGAGGTACATGTGGTGCGCGAAGTCCAGTATCTCTTTCGCCAGCTCATCATTCGGCCCCCAGTATGCGCCGTCGCGGTATGCGTGGTACTGCCGTCCATTCTCCATGCGGTGGTGGAGGATGGACGAGGCTAGCGAATCGGTCTCGTCGCCAAGGAGGCTGCCGCTGTCGAAGGCTGAGTCGGACGAGAAGCCAAGGCCATCGTCGTCGTCTACGGGGGAAGCTTCGGAGTCTTGTGGCGCTGCGTGGTGTACGGGGGCGTGTTGTTGTGGGTACGAGCTGGAGGAAGGCGCGTCGTCTCCTAGATGCACGGCGCTATCCTGCTGGTGCAAGCCGATGCCCTCGAAAGGCTTCGGGGAAGATGAAGACGCCATGGTGCTGTCGTGAGAGTGCGCGGCGGGGAGGAGGGGGAGATATCGACGCGACGCCCGGAAACGACGGGTTACATATTGGAGAGTTGGAGCCGATGCACTGGGAAGTTGCTGGACGCTGGCCGGCCGCTGACTCTCGTTTGGAGGCGTCTGTCAATGGGCGAGGGGTCTCTGGCAAAGTGGAGCATTGCACCGATGGCGCCGCGTTCGCGCAGCATCCCCGAGTAGATCCAGCGGATCGGTCGTCTGCTCCGGTCGCTGCCATTCGTTGATGCGCGTGTAATGCACGCGCAAAAGGAACGGTGCTGCATCGCCTGCATGGCTGTTAGAGGCGTCGGGGTAAGCGCGTGCTGGCGGCACTCTACCGACGTTGTACGAAGACTCTGGGTGTCCGAGGCAGTCAGGCCATTGGCGAGCCTGCCAACAACGTCAAAAAGGAGGGTGTCGATGAATGCATCTCGTGACTGCTGGACTGGCTCATTTGCGGGCCGCAAACGGCGTCATTCCCTTCATCGCCGTTGTCTAATCGGCCCTTTTGGCAGGCGGCACGGGTTGGAGAGGGTGGGCCAAGAGCACCTCTACAGTGGATACTCGAACTTTGTTGTAGAAGACGAAGAACAGTTTGAGAGTATGACCAAAGTCCATCGATGATCTCAGGCGACTTGACATGGAAAAACCAACTGCCGACGGCGAAGCCATTGCGGCGCAGCTCCCTTACCTGATTATTGGCTCTGGTAAGCGAAGGTGACGCCGCATACATGCTGCACCACACGGTCTGACCAGCTCGCAGGAACCGCTGGACTTGCACTCGCACAGGGGCTCCGCAAAGTATGTACACCGTCTGTGTAATGCAAAAGAGTAGCCTCATTCGAACAACTAGGCGAATATCCCGTGCGTCGTGTTCGAGAAGAACGCTGCCACGCATGGCGAGCGCGACTGGAACATGGGCCTTCACTGGGGCGCGCCAGTCCTGAAAAGCCTCATGCCAGATGGCTGGTGGGACCGCATCCAGAGCGTCCAGGTCGACCCGAATGTCCCCACGAAAGAGCAGGACACGTTGAAGTGGCTGCGAGGCGATACCGGAGCGCTGGTTGCAGCCATCACCTTCGGGCCTTTCTACCGCTTACGGAGGAGCAAGTTGCGCGACTTGTTAATGCAAGGCCTTGACATACACTTCGACAAGCGCTTATACGATGTCTCATACTCACCTGATGATGACTCAGTCACTGCCCATTTCGCCGACGGAACCTCGACGACGGGACGCATGCTGGTTGGCGCGGATGGAGCACGCTCTTCCACCAGGCAGATTCTACTTGGCAGAGAATTGGGCTCCATCAACCACATACCGTATGCGTGCACGTTTGTCCAGTGCAAGTTTACCGCCGAGCAAGCCCGCTTCTTGCGGTCATTCCACCCGCTGTATCTAGCATGTGCGCACCCGAATAATAACTTCGCCTTCTTCGGCATGCATGATGCGCCGGACGAAGATGACCCGGCTTCCTGGACCTTCTTCTACTATATCTCGTGGAGAAGTAGTTTGAAAGAGCAGGAAGCCACAAAGAACTGGACCGGTGCCCAGCGCCTGGCGCAACAAAAAGAATTCGCAAAAGAGTTCTGCGACCCATGGAGGAGTGCGTTTGCATGGACGCCAGACTGCACGCCGGTGTGGTATCTCGGACTCACCGACTGGGACCCGGGCATGGAAGGCCATCGCTGGGATAACCATCGCGGCTTAATTACTATGGTGGGCGATGCTGTGCATCCGATGACGTACCAGCGAGGTCAAGGCCTCAATCACTCTGTTACAGACGCTGGGAAGTTGTACGAAGCTATTACTAAGATTCAGGCTGGCGAGGACAGGAAAGCTGCGGTTGATGCGTTTGAAGAGGAGATGATTAGGCGTGGGGGTACGGAGGTTAGGGATGGCACGGCAAATACCATGATGCTTCATGACTGGGAACGCGTTAAGCAGAGTCCGCTGTTCACGAAGGGGATGAAGAAGACCGAGGCTTAGGGGTTGGTAGATTTGGTTCTCGCGTTATATCAATGCATCGCGTAGTAATGTACAGTAGCATGAATGAACAGATCTCTAGGCAGTCTCGTGATCGCCTCAATCTTAGCAGTTAATGTCCTGTGTCTAAATTGGACGCTGGTGTAATTAAGCCAAGAAGATACCCAGGAGTATAGCACAGTGGGCTGCCGATATGCCCGGGCATTAGAGCTGCTGACTGATGGTCGCGGGTTAGCGCGACAGTGCACATGCAGTACTCACGGTCCTCAGCTGTCTACGACCCAAGTTGGCGGACCATGCGAAGTCCCGCGTACAACAAGTGTTTCCAGATTGTAGATGGCGTTCCGACTCTACCAAACCGCGCCGAGTACCCTGACCTGCCTGTATTCAACAACACCGCTCTCCATTTGCCGAGCACACCCGAGGAACTAGCTCTCTTCGGCAGCGACGTGCACGTCGCAGACAACTCAGACGACGTCAACGAAGTCTACGATATTGTGCTCGTGGCTTGCAGGAAGAGTAATCATCGCAGAGAGAACAGCGGGTTTAGCGATACAGCGATTGAGTGGTACGAAAGAGTACAAGCCCTCTATCAATACTGGGAGCATTTGTACAACCGTCTGCCCGAGCCGCATGCAATGAAGGACGTCGAAACGGTTCTCCATGAGGACACATACACGCCAATCTGGATTCCATACAACTTGGGACACGTCACCTCCGCTCTCACAATTTTCAGTCAACTTGGCGACTGTCGAGGGTATCGTCGGATGTGTATGGATGCCATCGGTCATGTCCAGAAACTCGCAGGTCGGGCTATACGAGTCCTAATTCTTTTCGTGGGGATAGACGGTGCGACATCAGCGAACAGCTCTTAGGACGAGCTGCTTCAAGAGTTCCGCCTGGTATCCTTCCACCTAACGAGCGTTAATACTGCTAAGTTCGCTTCACTCTACCCATCCGTCTACACATTACGAGGGAGCCATAGCTGGGCTCATCTAGACGTCGCGGACCTTGCGGCAGAATGGAGCGCCTGTTTCTCCAGTGTCAACGTTACTCTCCGAGTCGTTCGGCACCCGAAGCAACACAGGTGGCTACATTGGGCGGATATTATATACAAACAGAAGATGGCCACCAGAGACGTCACTACTCGCCGTGTGCGTAGGCCGTTGTATGATGTGCTGTGCGTTGGACGAGGACCGCTGCTAGACAACATTGTGGCCCGTTTACACGATGAAAAGGTATGCGAAGTTTGCAACGGGAAGCCAGGGAAGTGTTGGAGCCGAGGACAAGATCGTTCTCGACACCTGCAGAGACACGATATCGCGCCGCTGAATCTATCGTGACTCTTCGCGATGATGGGGGTTGTTCTTTCTCATGAGCCGTGTCCCCCTCATCTGGTGTCCAGGGCTTCGGCGAGATGCCTCGGATAACATTGTCCCAACACCATGACGTCGGCCATCCTCGGTCCTAGCTGCGCGATGCGCGACAACGCTCGACATCTACTGTTATTCCATTCTTGATAGCTAACACTACGACCAATTCCTCGAATAGTGTACTGACCAGCTCAAATTACCTCACCCCGCCTTCCAGTGTTAGAGATCCCGCCCCCAAACGAAGATGACCTCCCCTTCCGAATTTCACGGCTGGCTAGGCCACGATAAGAATGCCGCACAGGGCAATATGACATGGTCGTCCTTCCAACCCAAGCCCTTCAACGCCATCGACATCGACATCAAAGTCTCCCATTGCGGCATCTGCGGCACCGACATCCACACCCTGCGATCTGGCTGGGGCGCAACCCACTATCCCGTATGCGTCGGCCACGAAATTGTCGGAAACGTCGTGCGTGTGGGAGATAAAGTCAAGGACCTGCGCTTAGGCGACAGAGTGGGCGTAGGCGCGCAGGCGTTCAGCTGCCTAAAGGACGACTGCGAGGAATGCAGCGCAGGCATTGAGCAGCATTGCCCGAAGATGGTGGGTACATACAATGCGAAGTACCCCGACGGAAGCTGGAGCATGGGCGGATATGCAGACTACGTCCGCGTCCCAGCGCATTTCGCGATCAAGATACCCGCTGGATTGAAGAGCGAAGAAGCGGCGCCTATGATGTGCGGCGGCATCACCGTCTATGCGCCGCTGAAGAACAACGGCGCGGGTCCAGGGAAGAAGGTAGGAATCGTAGGGCTGGGAGGTCTAGGCCATTTCGGCGTCTTGTTCGCGAAAGCACTCGGCTGCGAGAAAGTTGTAGCGATAAGCCGACGGAGAAACAAGGTCGACGACGCAAAAGCGATGGGTGCAACAGATTACATCGCGACATCTGAAGACGACAAGTGGGCGCGCAACCACAGCCGATCCCTCGACCTCATCATCAGCACAGTCTCCTCTCCAGACATGCCCCTCGAGTCATATCTCCGACTTCTGCGTACAGGCGGTTCATTCATCCAGGTCGGCGCGCCAGAAGACAAACTTCCTCAGATCGCTGCGTTCGGTCTTATCGGCAAAGGATGCAAGATTGGGGGCAGCCAGATTGGCAGTCCCAAGGAGATTGAGGAGATGCTTCAGTTTGCGGCTGACAAGGGGATTAAGCCGTGGGTGCAGAAGCGCAATATGAAGGATGCGAATAAGAGTGTGGTTGATATGGAGGAGGGACATGCACGCTATCGCTATGTTCTCGTGAATGCGGATCATGGGGATAGGGCGAAGATGTGACCGTGAGGCATGTTACCACGTTGATCTAATTCAACCAGTATTGTTCACATTTGACAGCCAGCAGAGCGATTCTGACATCAACGCAGTCAAGCGTAGTGCTTGACGTATCATATCCGCTTGCTCTTTTTGTTGTTTGTTCCCTAAACCAGATTGTCTCACAGGCGCCCGTCTTCTCAGACCCTTTCCCTTATCTCACACTCAACAGCCCATTTTCACAATGCGCAACAGAACTAGCCTCGCACCGCCCCTGCATTATCTCATTACTCGCAACGTGCAAGTGATACATCGCCTCCTGGCTCACATGCAAGCCGCACGCCTACCCATCAACCAAACCACCGCCCCTTCAACCACAATGCGCTCTTCCTCACTGGCTCGCATCAGAATCCCACCCAGGGTACCGAATCCGCCCCAACCCACCTCACCAAGCCGCGCAATAAAGCAATGCGCGCGACAATCCCTCTCTTATCTATACTACCTTCACACATATCTTATGTCTTGGTTTACGAAGACAAAGACAACGCCGAACGCATCCAAGCCGCCCACAGCATCCAAAGCACCCAAAGCGCACATCGCCGGCATGCACATCACACGCGATCAAGCGAAACGCCTCATGAAAGTCTGCACAACACTCGAAGACATGATTGGAAAACAAACCAAAGACATATATTGCATTCACGGCGCCTCGGAATCGTACGCGTCGTCCACGTTGAGACGCATCAAGAAACAACAAAAGGAAATCTTGAAGACGCTCGAGGATCTCATACATAGTTCCAAGGGCTACAAAGATGACGCAGCTTGCGTGGAAGAGTTTTACGATGCGCATTGCAGTATGAAGAGGATGGAGATGAGGTGTGAACACCAATCCAAATATCCCTGTAGGGATTGGAGGACTGCGGCGGAGGGGTATTGGCCGTTGATCGCGGGGCGGTATGGGCCGCTTTTGGAACTTGTTGCAATTCTGAAGCGGGAGATTGGGGATGCGATTAAAGACGAAAGAACATGGGATGGAGAAGCGGGCAAGCGGAGCCATCGCACGAGTCTTGGGTGCGTGGAATCGGCACTGAACCGCGGACCTCGAAACAAGCCCACGCCTGCGTCCGGGTACGTATCGCTCAAGGACAAACACGTCACCTTCTCTGAAACAGTGTTCTGGCGAAAGTTCAATAGCGCAGCCCCACCAGAGGAACTAGACAGACTGGCCTCAAATACAGGTCTTCGCAAAGAAGAGTTTACCACGAGCCTGGCTAGAAGGGGGCGCAGGTCAACGAAGAGCTTTAAGAAGAGGAAAGTGGAGAACAAGGGGTGGGATGCAATGTTCAAGACGGATTGGTGGAGTGTAGGGTTGGAGCCTTGGGGGCCGGCGAAAACTAATGAGGAAGAGGCGACGGAGGAGGATATAGAGAGATTAGAAAGAGAGTTCAATGAGGAGCTGATACAACAGCTAGCGACACAACCATGGTAGAGGGCTGGGGGTATGAGCATATGAGAAGATATCAACGAATAAGAGGTGTATCAAGGGGGAAGAACACGAGGTATGATGAACAGGCTCATTTTGCACATCCGTCCATTTATCTCCAACGTCCGCGGAGAACTACCACTAAGTACGACTATACTCAAGATACAATAAGTCCAGTGTCCACATGACAATCCACCCGACAGCAACAAGACAGATTGCTCGTAAAACTTTGTAGTAGAACAGAGATACCCAGTACCACTTTGGAACATCTTTCCAGCTCCTGCGCCGCCAGACCACACTGAAACAGCTAGTCCCACCCTCTCTATCACGCCGATTCTGTATATCCCAGAGACGCATGGAATACTCGAAGTCCTCGCCATACTGAAGCCAAGGCTCGGGTATAATACCGAAGCGTCGTTCAACCCGCGTATCCTGGGGAACATTGTACCAGCGAAGACTGATGTGCCTGATACTAGACCGATTTGTCGTCTCGCACAACTTGTCGTATTCTGGAATAGTATGTGCTCCTGGGGCCAGGATATCCCGACACAGGGCCTTGTGCGCGTCGCAGTACCGGTTGTACATGGCAAGTTGCGACCTGTAAGTCCGCGGCCACTCGTGGCTAAAGATAACGATGACGGTGGTAATCCAGGACCAGTGCCAGGGAATGAAATTTGGTAGCCTGGTGGTACCTGCCGTGGGGTCTAGTGGTGGGAGACGGAGTACGATCTTTGAATTCTTTGATGAATCGCGAGCGGACGTGAGGATGCGTATGTTGAGGGTGGTGAGGAGAGACTGGAATCGGATGTATTCTTCGGATACGCATTTCTTTGCTTCGTACTTCCATTCCTTGCGGATGAGGTGACATGTTTGCAGGAGACCGGAGTATGAGGCGAAAGAGGTGTTGACTGGCGAGATGTGGTTGTAGATATTGATGCGAACCTCGGCTGGCAGAGCTAGGAAGGCGGTTGTGGGCATGAGGAAGCTTGACCGTGTGTAGTAGCTCTCGTGGTTGCTACGATCGAGTGGGCTGTTGAGAGAACCTTCGAGTACTTAGTAACTACCTGATAAGCGTGGAGGGCTAGTGCACGGATGAGGCAAAACCGCGAGGGCAACTGCCAGTCCAAGTGCTCAAAACATTCCCAAAGGCAGCTCAAGAGCCCAAGTGAATAGCATTGTGCCTGTGCTGGGATACAACCGGGAAATGAATACAGCAAAGCTGGCGATGGGTGAGTTGTTCAAGAAGCTTTCAGCCGCTCTGGCTGCCTACGCTGAACCTTAGTGTATACCTTGGTCGGCTTGTTGAACCAGTAGTTGTGCGTCTCCCATTCCTTCTCTGGTTCGAGGAGCTCAAGGTCGAACTCGCGTAGAAGTTGCAGTATCACCTTGTACGTCTCGCACAACGAGATCTGTAACATCGTCAGGAAGCTTCAATATACTCGTAAGCTCCCACTCACATTCTTCCCGATACATGTTCGCGATCCACCACCAAACTTCGATTCGGGTTAGTAGCCGGACATAGAAGCTGGAAATGTAACTAGTACCTGTAACATATACCTCTCCATCCTTGCAGCGTCTAAACCAAGCCATCGTTCAGGTACAAACTCATCCGCATCGTCGCCGAAGACGCTCTTATCGCGCTGTACCACCGCTGCGTTCATACCAACTCAAGTGCTAGGAGGAAACCATTCGCCAGCGATCACGCGGCCCCCTTTAGGTACGTGACGTAGTAGTATCATACCCACGCTTAGGTAGAGTCGCATACCCTCCTTGCAGCAAGCCATTAGGTATAGCAGTCCAACTGCCTCGTGATACTGAATGATTAGGCCAAGTTGTCCGGCTTGCGCAGCTTCGTCTATCTCGGCGGTAAGTTTAGCGTAAGCGGAAGAGGTACGCATCAAATAGTAGAGGATAGCAGTAACAGCAGCTGCGGTAGTGTCAGAGCCGGCGATGCTAGTAAGTGTTAGTGCGCGAGTGAAGCCGCAAGAGAGAAGAACCTACAAAGCTCCATAAACTTCGGCCTTTACCTCAACCATTCCAAAATCCTTCTCGGTACCCTTCTAGTGCATAACGTTAAAGAAGCTTTGTAGCATGTCTTCGCAGTCATCGGCTTCGCCGCGCTTGATGCGGCCTGTCCGCTCCGTGACGCATGCTTCAGATGTCTCTTCGATGTATTTCAGAGCTTTAAGTGCCTTAAATACGCGTAGTATCATAGCGCCGCTAATAAGTACAATTGGTCGTAAGTACGCTAGCGAAGCGCAGGCAACAGCGATAAAAGGAATCAGTAGGTCCAAGGTATAGATGTAGCCGCCATAGTCATGAGCGTTCTTCACAAAGCCAAACATGCGACTAAAGAATAGTTGTCCAATGACGTCGAAGGCGTACCTAGATTCCAAGTCAGTTCTCGCATATATGAGGTTTACTGTATAATGTCTTACCATTGAACCCAAGTCGACATGTCAAGCGTACTGCCTTTCGTTGCACCCTCGCTTAGCTTGTCGACAAGCATCTGTACACATTTGTCGACACTTTCCTCCATCCGCAGTATATTGTACATGGAATAGAGAGAGTTCACGATCCTGCGCCTCTCGGCGTGTTGACGCTCGTCGAGGTTCGTAAAGGCATCTGGGTATCTTGACCAGGTTGATCGGAATGGGAGGTAGAAGTCGGTCTGTACGACGTCAGCATCAGTGGCGCCTCTCAGAATCAATTGCGTACCTTGGTGAACCCTGTATGTGTTGCATATATGGTCTTGATTGCTTCAGGGTCCGCTATCGCAACCTCATTCGGGGCTATCCGAACGATGGGTCCTATGCTGGTCAATACCGCGAAAAGCTTGGCGAGTAGGGCAGTAGCTTCATACCAAATCGCTCATGAAGCCTTCGTTGTGTCTCCTCCGAGTTTCCTCGTGCAACATCGAAGATGTGCCAGAACCGCGTGATCGAAGCAAAGAACGGCCCGGGGTGTTTGGCTAGCGGGTCTATATGTCTGGCATAGAAGACCCATATTAGCAGGTAAGTAAGAAGGGAGATCACAATGAGAGCCACGAGAGGCATTGACTGGGTAGAGAGCAGCAGCTGTTGAGACATATTAGAAAAGCCTTGAGATAAGGACGACGTGATCAGCCCCAGGTAACTCTGGAGAGCATGTGGTGCGTCCTCTGGCGCTTTATCCTGTAGGTTCCCAGGATCTGATCATACCAGGCTGACTCAGAGGACCTGTAGACAACCAGGTGTGTACACGGCTCCAAGTTTCTTGGCCGACACCGGGGCTGAGACCATTACTGCGGTGGCATTCGCGCTTCTACGTCGCTCCAGCACATCAACATCGTCGCCTGCTGCAGATCGTTCCACAATTACAATCGCATTGGTTGCGTAGCGAGATAAGAACTACTACTGTGCAGAGCGGTGGAACAGTCCCCCAGGCTGGGAGTCCGCATCGTCCTGTTCTGAACCTGTTCACTAAATCAAGTTAGGCCTCTCAAGGTTTCAGGCGTAAGAATAATCGTATCGACGAGGTAAGTGGCGCATCCTTTGCTCTTGTAATGGACCGTGATTGCTGAAGTCGACTCCACCAACATTGGGGGTGGCTTCTGACATCAGCAGCACTCAGCGGCAGACTTTGTCACCATCGTATCCGAGAGACCTGTATGGTAGAAGTCGTTTTCTAGCTAGACCAGGCATCCGGAAGCGACATCAAAAAGATCTGGTGAGCCTTCCAGGTGGAGACGCGGTCGCGCCATCCAACAGATCATCGTAGCATGGGTAAGCCGGCACGGCACGGCTCTGCGACCGGGAAGGATGTTGCAGGCCGATGCAGCTTCCGGAAACCGAGATACGGCATAGATATCAGTGGGCGGCACGATGTGATGTGATGTGATGTGATGTGATGTTTGAAGGTGCACGACAGCTGCCCAGCCCTGGAGGTGGGCAGCAGGCGTCGCTGTATTGCTAACCGAATTCGGTCTCGGCCCCACATAACACGTCGTCATTGAGCGAGCTCGCGGTGCTTGAGCTTACCCGGCAAGCGCGAACAGTTGGCGCAGTACATACTACATAGATACAACTTTATGTTTATCTACATCTTTACTCAAATGAACCCCATGCGGGGGAGATGCAATGCTTAGCACAAGTACAGCCATAAACGTCGCCTCTTATCCCTGCCAACGCGTCACTCGTCACATCACCTACCACGCATCGCCATACAACTCTCTATACTCCTCACGAACGCGTGTTCATGCTGCCTCCGCGATACTACGTCTCGTCATTGTGTAGAGCCAGTCTCAATCGCCTCACGCTTCCAACACTTACGGCCCATGATCAAGGCTGGTTGCGGATTCCGCTGCGTGCCGAGGAACATGCGCACCGTGTTCATGACCGGAAAGAGTTGTTAAAGGGATGTTGTCTGATGGCTGTGGCGCAGTGTCGGAGGAGGCAGAGCTACCCGCGCCATCCGATGGATGTTGAGGATCACGCGTAACCACTGACGCTCCAATGCCGGAGTCGCCGGTTGACGGTGTCGAAGTGCCAGATGATGAGTTTGGTGAGGTACGTCCCTGTTCACCCGCACCATCTGGATCGAGTGGTCCATCACCCCCATTTCTTGTCACCAACCACTCGGTAAAGACTTTGAATAGCTGCCACGCCGCCTGTAAGAGCACCAAGTCGGCGATCACGATTGAAAGGACCAGATCACCTGTGGACTTCAACTGCGGCACCTGGCAATAGTATTGCTGCCTGATGACCGAGGGAACAACCCCAAGAGGACCACTGGTCGAGCGCTGGGCGTCGAAGGGAACGCGCTCCGGGCCGAATCGATCGGTTGACAGGTATTCTTGTATAGTGGTAAAGTTCGCCGTAAAATACTCAAGTGCTGTTTCATTGGCGAGGATGTTTGGCGTCTCGACCTGTCCCAAGTCCGCGAGGACAGTCGAGTAGGCTGCTTTGGCTAGCATGTCAACCGGTACCCAGATGTTGGGATATACGCTTCGCCCGTTGAGGTCGCCAAGAGTGGTCGAATTCTCGTTGCCACTGCCCGGCCATATATTCTTGAAGCCTATGCCGTTGTTCCTGGCCACGATGAAGCGGTAGTTGGGGGTGAAGAAGTCTATGTTGGCGATATCGTCTACTGATTCAGTAGGCATGAGATACACTAGGCCCTTCTCGATGGGATGTTGGCCCATATTGAGCTTCTTCTTGCGATACTGTTGCATGAACCAGGTTGTATAGCCCCAGTAGTTGGACATGAGCGACTCGCCCCACCACAGACTCGCGCGCGTCTGCTTGTTATGGGTGAGGAATTCTCTACCCGAGGAGCGACCCTTCATCCGCGAGAGCGTTGTCGGTGACGGAACGTGGTTGTACGTTTGCGTCAGGTTGAAAAAGACTGTACCTAACGGATTGGAGATCTGGCACGTGGCATACGTTCGGACTGCAGTGTTCCATCCGGCGTAACGAATCTGGTTGGTCGCTTCGTCCAAGGCTTGGAACTGGATCCCAATCGAGACAATAGAACAATTCTCCAAGATGTTGTTCTGATATGTCAACGACGGCAGTTCGGTTACCTGCGTGTCTTGCTCCGTCCAGACAGCTGTGAGTGTGTATGAGAGAGCCGTCTGGTTCGTGAAGAAGGATTCGTGCCTTGAGAGGTCTGCGGGCATGCACTTGGGTTGTATCCTATACGTACGGGTACAAAGTCAGATCAGGCAGATAAGTGGGGTCAAGTGTAAGTCAAGTATGTTGAAGACATAGCAACTTTGGTTCAGGATGTAACGTACTTGTTGGTGAGGATGTTCCAGGATGGCCAACCATTTTGTGATCGCTGAACGATGGTCGCATTGGGGTCAAATGTTGTTTCAAAGACTAGGTCAAAACCACTAATAGCGACGTTGATGTATGTGAAGAGTACCGTCAAGCAGAGTCCGCCAACAACAACGACTGGTGTATACCACCGGTACGGATAGGGTCGTACCATAGGGTAAGCAAAGCGTGCCTGATGGGGCTGTGGCATCGTTCGTGAATAGTGTGATTCGAGTCTTGAGGGAGTTTGAAACATGGTGGCGACAAGTCGGTGCTGAGACATGGTTTAAATATACCAAACACTTAGTCCATAGAGAAAACCTGGGTCAAGTAGCTCGGTCCAAAGCGACAAGAAGCCGCGCAGGTACATGCGGCAGCATGAGGCGTCAAGAGCGACATTGTCTGTATCCACTCACCGGACGCCCAAGGTTGACAGATGAGGCGAAGCTGTTTGTTCACGATGATATTTTCGTAGGATAAGTGGAGGTCTTCATGTACATCGGAATCTCTTCACGCTGTGTAACACCAAACGGGTGGCTGGGCCAATCAAGCGGGCCACTAGACGACAATGACACATGCTTGTCGTACAAGACCACGACATCCTGACCGGCCGAGGTGGC